AAAAAACCACCCAATTAAACAAGTAAAGGAAAATTCTTTTGTTACTTGTAATAAACAATTTTAGATGTGGCATGCTGCTATGGAAAGCCTTCCAAGATCTACATTTACTTTACTGTTGTTAATTACGAGGAAAAAAGGATTTAAAAAAATCATGACATAAAAGAGAAAAAAATAAATAAACAAAATTAAGTAAACATGAGACAAGTTGGCATACGTAGCACATTAGGTTAGTTTTAGCTTTGTTTTCTTCTGCACTTTAACAAAATTTCACATATCCTTTTCATCATTCTGGAGCAAGCTATTTATTTTCTAAAAGAACAAAAGAATAATGGCTTTTTAAGGGTAGCTCAGGACTAGGAAGGGAAGGACCACAATCTCTTTCACTTAAGTGAATATTTCCAAAGATCGAAACAAGAATTCACATTGTATGAATGTAGTAAACTAAATCAGCTATAAGATAATGACAAGGCATTGAAATTGCAATGCTAGAAAATTGGAATGTTAAGTATAAAAAACAATAACTACAATAGCTAATACTTATTAATGGCATTATTATTAACCATGCAATACTCATTATTACATGGATCCTCACAACACTCCTATAAATAGGTTATATGGTTTATTCTCTAATTTACATATAAGGAAACTGAAATTCATATATAAGAAACTGCCCAAGGTCACACTGTTAACAAGTACTTGATCCACGTCTGTCTGACTTCAAAATAATCAATCATTTCTACTAATAAAAGTCCTTCACAGAATAAGGTTTTTAAGTTATTATATTTCATTATTAAATGTAGAAAAGATAATAAATACTTAATGATAGTACAAAAAACTTTGGCATATAAAGTTATTGAAATATGGGTTGGGTTGTAGATTTTTAAATATATATTTATTTCAGAGAAGAAGGGAAAGGGAGAGAGAGATAGAAATATTAATAATGAAAGAGAATCAGTGATTGGCTGTGTACTGCATGCCCTGCACTGGGGATCATCAAGCCTGTGTGTATATGGAATATATATTCCATTGGACCAAGGACCTGTCCATTTTTGTTCAGTGTTTTATCTACAATAGTCCCTGGCCAATAATATTTCTTAAACTAAGGAATGACATGCAAAGAGAATATGTACACTCCTGCTATTTTCATAGAAGATATATTTTGGTTTGTATTTGAGTTACCTAATGATTAATGAATCATTTGTAAAAAATGCTTATATATTTTAACAAAATAAAACTTCAAAATATGTTAATTAAAAGTAAGTTGCTGTCTTAAAAAGAGAGAATAAAATAATTACTACATGAATTTCTCATGCTTGAATTTAGAATTGAAAAAACACACACACTATTTTTCTTGTTTTCTATAATGGAACACAAATCCACACTTAAATTACAGACATTTAATCTACCAGAAAAACATTACTTACTTTTCTTATTTGAATTACATTATTCTTTCTCCATACTACTAAGTTGATAATCAGTGTGTTTTTAGATCACCAAGATTATAAAATTTTATGTGACAATTAACATATTAGATGTTATTCCTCCTTAGAGTATTATAATTAATCAGTGCCCTGGTGCACGGATTCATGCACATTGAAAGGAAATTAATCAGAAGGTGGCCAGCCAGATGGGACTATGCAAGACAGGCCAGATATGCCCTGAACCCACCCTTACATGGTCCCTCCATGGCCGGACTCACCTGGGGTGATGCCAAGGCCCAAAAGATGTCTGGGGAGTGAGCTGGGTCCCTCTGGCAGGTGGGGTCCCTAGGCCTGGCCTGAAGGGATCAGGCCAAAACCAGCTCTCCGACAACCCCCGAGGGGTCCCAAGCGCCAGAGGGCACTCCGCAAAGTTGCTGTGGTACAGGCTGTGGAATGCAAATGCAAATGTGCAGTAAACCAGATTTGAGGCTGACAGTGCCCCAGCAATAACATAATCCATGGCTGAAGGTAGAACTGTGCTCTTTCCTCTCTGGTTCTGGGGTGCACTGCTTGAGAACCACCTCTGCCAAGTCACCACAGCTCAGCAGCTCCTGCTTTGAGCATCTGTCCCCTGGTGGTCAGTGCACATCATAACTATAGGCCAGTTGGATAGTTGTTTAGCTATATATTTATAGATAGATAGATAGATAGATAGATAGAACCAAATGTACAGCTTATCACTAAATCAATATGTAAAGCTATATAAAATGTATTTATATCAAAGTTCCTTATTATAAAAGAATTAAACTATTTTGCATATTAACTGACTATAAAAATAATATGACAAATGAAATATAACTTTGGAGACTATCTATTGTAATTTAATTCCTAATCTTTTTCAGCAAATCATAATACATACTGCCTGATACTTTTAAATCCTCTATTTTTAAATGAGTGACAAATAATGATATTAGAGAAAGAAGATATAAAATGAGTAGCTCACAACAAAATTTCTTCAAAGTACAATTTGCAAAATATATTTACAAAGTTTTAACATATGATTTTAAGCACATAAACTGATAGTGTTGAAAATAATACATAATAAAAATGTTTTCAACAAAGGAAATATATGAAGCTACAACCAAAAAAAGATTTAATATATGTATTAAATACCGAGCTGTTCAGAAATATACATATAAATACAATGTAAATACTTTCAAAAGATTTAATTTAAAATTCATAAATAAAAAGTAAAATATAAATTAACCAAGAATACTTAATACTTCAGGAGAACTATGTAAATTCCTGTATTTTAATAATTCCCATTAACCTTAGGGGGGGGGGAAAGGTTTAAAAAATAGAGCCTATACTTTTCCCCAACTCAATAACTGAAGCTGGCTTATATTAGCAGAACCAAAAAGTCACATTACAAAAAAAAGCCAATAATCACCACTGTAAAAACCAGACATCTCTTAATGACCTTCTCAACAATGGCACCAGTTTCTATATAGGACATAGTTGAAAAAAATGCTTTTTCATGTCCCAAGACCTATCTATCAGACACCTTTATGAAGAGGAAAGCTTTTCACTAAAAGTGATTTTAGATCTTTTTCTTTTTCTACTTTTACCCAAATGACTTTTGGAGAAGTCATTTTGAAATCTTTTAAACATTAAATTATCAACTAACTAAAATGACATTAACTTCTATCAAGTCTATGGATAAAGTTTAACCAACAAAATATTTCTATATTCCACATTTAGTAAAAGGACTTAAAAAAAAAACATTTGGTGTAAAACAAACCTAAAATTTGACTACAGGTATAGTCAAATCAATTATGTCTATATACTGTGGAGTACTATAGAACAGTTACAAAAATAAAGTAAGTATATATAAACTAACATGAAAAATATCTCTAAGTTATACTGAGTAAATACAGATTAAAAATCTCCAAAAAAAGATTGAGTAGAAAAATATGTTTGAAAAATCAAATCAAGATTACATAGCATAATATAGGGGTGTGTGTGTGTGTGTATATCTATAATAATAAAAGGGTAATGTGCTAATTAGACCTAGTCGACCATTCCGACTTCCTTCCAAGCAAAGCCACAGTGATGGGGGCTGAGATAGAGGTGGTTAGGGGCGATCAGGCTGGCAGGGGAGCAAGCAGTTAGGAGCAATCAGGCCAGCAGGGGAGGGCAGTTGGGGGCCAGCAGGCCAGCAGGGGAGGGCAGTTGGGGACCGTCAGTCAGGAAGGCGGAGGCAGTTGGGGGTGATCAGGCAGGTAGGCAGGTGAGTGGTTAGGAGCCAGCAGTCCTGGATTGTAAAGAGGGATGTCCGACATCCCTGATGGGTCCTGGATTAGAGAGGGTGAAGGCTGGGCTGAGGGACACCCCCCCCCCCAACATGCATGAATTTCATGCACCGGGCCTCTAATATATATATATATATATATATAGTGATAGGTGTTATCACACACACACACACACATTAGAGGCCTGGTGTATGAATTTGTGCACCGGTGGGGTCCAGCAAGCCGGCCCAATCAGGGCCGATCAAGCCAGGCTGGCTTGGGGGAGGGATTGGGGGTGATTGGCCAGCTGACCCTGTCCCGTGGTCGAATTTCTGGTCAAACTCCTGGTCAGTCCAGGAGACAATTTGCATATAAGCCTTTTATTATATAGGAGATATATTTATGAGAGAAAGAGAAATCGTGCCTCTAGAAGTATGCACATTAAACAACTAATAGTGATTATCTCTGGGAGAATTATTTAAATGTGATTTAAAAAAGATTATATCCCTTTTTTACTTATGGGCAAAAAGATCTGACATAAAATGTTAGAAAAAATATTTTTGTCATTAAACACTCAATTTCCTTCAAATGATTAAGCTTACCAGACATAAAAGCAAAAGAATTATACCGATGTTGACATTTACAATTTCTGTCATTACTTAAATGTATTGAAATCTATTTATTTAGGAAAATAAAAATGTATAACTATATTTTTCAAATTTATATTATACCTTCTTTCTCTATAAGAAATAGAACCATAATGTATTCCAATATTTAATTCTGTAGTATTATTTTTGAACCTCCCTCTGCCAATCCTATATTCTCAAATATTCTGTAACTCCTTAAACAACATCTGGTATTACCAAGTATGCTTTAAATAGACAATTCTATACAAAATAAGACTACACTAAATTCTATAATTGTGTAGAATATGTCTATTATAATTTTTTTTTCACTAAAATTTGCCAAAGTTTAAAAGAATAAAGAGTACTGGCCAGTGTTTCTCGATGATTAGAGGGCAGGCCCGTGGGTCTGATTCCCAGTCAAGAACACATACCTGGGTTGCAGATTTCATCCCCAGGCCCTGGTCCAGGCCTCGCGCTAGGCAAATATTCTCTGTCTCTCTCTCTCTCCTTCTTTCCCCCCTTTTCTTCACCCCCCTGACCACCATCTCTCTTCCACTCTCTCTAAAAATCAATGAAGAAATATCCTCTGGTGAGGATTAACAAAAAAATAGTAATTATTTGGAAAATAAAATAATAAATAAAATAGACTCTCAATCCTCTACCTTATATTCATCCACAATAATGCTGAGGGCTTCATGACCAGCTTTCCTCATATCTTCCAATTCTTGTTTATGTTTTTCCTGAAGAAAAAAAAAAAAAAGTAAACCATGGTAAGTTCTTTTGTTTACAAACAATAAAACCATTGACTTTTGCATCCATGAGTAATTGAGAGGCTTGTGAAAATAAAATGTTACAGGTAAAAAGCTTTTTTTTTTAATTTTTGTTTAAAAGCATTCAGATTTTCTTGAGTATCTAATTATATTATTTTTTGGTATGTTTTTAAAGGTCTGATATGGGTTTAACTTTCTCTACCTGATATTTAAGTATATTATATAATTTATGTTACTAATTGTGTCACTTTTTGAAAGTAATAGTGGTTAATTACACTGGAATAATTGAAATAAATATTACTGACTGTCCTGGGCAAATCAAAAAGCAAAGTCATTGAATTTCTAGGTTTCTGAGATGTTTTTTAAAGCCAATAGAATATGTCTCATAATTGACTGTCTGGGTCTATTTTCCTGGGTACACATGTGCATTTCTAAATTATAAGGGTCCTGGCCATTTAATAAAAGTTTATTGAATTTTTTTTTATATAGCTCTGTTTCACATGTTTGGTTTTATTTTTCAGGAACTACATTTATCTATATATTGGATCAGTTTTCCTTGTTTTCTTTTGTTTTTGTAATTATTCCTCTCAAATCCTTCCTCCATTATTTGATATTTTTCAGTTTACCTTGGCAATGCTTTTTATTTTTTTTATAGTATTATATTCACTCTATTGTGATTTTAAACTTAGTCCTCCTTTTAGAATTTTTTATTTTATTTATTTTTGTGACTGTCAGGCACCTCTTTGTTTTAATTTATCTTTATTGTTGAAAGCATTATAGATGTTCCCCTTTACCACCAATTGTCTCCCTCTGCCCCCTCCTAAAACTATCTCTTTTTATATAATTGTTACATTTTCTCATTTCTGAACCATTGTACTTCTAATTTATTCTATTTCTCAAATGGTTCTACACAGTTGCATCACTATCCTTTTCTCTTACCCATGCCCCAGTCTACTCTTAGGACAAGGTTGCTGGATAAGAAGTGAAATGGGGCTGAACAACTTTCCTAGCATCAGAATTCTAGGGCTCCCATTTCTGTTGTTAAATACACACACACACACACACACACACACACACACACACACACACACACACATATTAGAGGCCGGGTGTACAAAATTCGTGCATGGGGGTGTATGTTCCTCAGCCGAGCCAGCACCCTCTCCAATCCGGGACCCCTTTCACAATCCAGGACTGCTGGCTCCCAACTGCTGCCTGCCTGCCTTCCTGATTGCCCCTAACTGCTTCTCCCTGTCATCTTGATCACCCCCTAACAACTCCTCTGCCAGCCTGATTGATGCCTAACTGCTTCCCCGTCAGGCTTTTGCCCCTAACTGCCATCCCCTGCAGGCCTGGTCACCCCTAACTGCCCTCCCCTGCATACCTGGTCCCCGACAACTGCTCTCCCCTGCAGGCCTGGGTCCCCCATCCCCAACTGTCCTTCCCTGCAGGCCTGGTCTCCCCCAACTTCCCTCCTCTGCCAGCCTGGTCACCCCTAACTGCCCTCCTCTGCAGGCTTGTTTGCCCTCAACTGTCCTCCCTTGTAGGACTGATCCCTCCCAACTATCCTCCCTTGCTGGCCATCTTGTGGTGGCCATCTTGTGTCCATAGGAGGGGAAGTCATCTTTGACCAATGGGGGTAGCCAGCTTGTGTGTTGGAGTGATGGTCAATCTGCACATTACTCTTTTATTAGATAGGATAGAGGCCTGGTGCATGGGTGGGAGCCAGCTGGTTTGCCCGAAGGATGTCCCAGATTAGGGTGGGAGTTCTTTTGGGGCATAGGGAAGTCTGGGCGAGGGGCTGGCCAGGGGCTGGCCATGCCCCCCAATGACCCAAGCAGAGGCCCTGGTATCTGGATTTATTTATCTTTTACAATTGAAACTTTGTAGCTTGGAGAGGAACCAAGCCTTCTGCTCACTCCGAGGTGGAAGCCATTTTTGGGGAAATTTATTTTTCTTCTAAAATTGAAGCTTTGTAGCCTGGAGTGGAGGCCTGGGCTGGTCAGGGTGTGCAGAAAGCTTTGCTGCTTCCATCGCTGGGGAAACCCAAGCCTCCCTCCTGCTCTCTCCATGGCTGCAGCCATCTTGGTTGGGTTATTTCATACTCGTTCCTGATTGGCTGGTAAGCATGGCTTGTAGGTATAACAGAGTGATAGTAAATTTACATATCACTTTTATTAGATAGGATATTTTTTAGTGTAGCCCCTTTTCTAATACTTTCTAATATCTACTTTCTCTGAACCCCTCACCTAACAATACCTTCCCTTAGTGTCTTATTCTCCTTCCTATCATCTCCCTTCACCATGCACCCCTGTATTTTAAGAAGGGCACTTTCTCAGGTTAGTTGCAAGAGAAATGAGGGCTCAGAGGACTGTAAGTTTCAGCTATTGTATTCAAGTCTGTCTTCCAAGTGTTCTACTCTGACTAGCAACTGTTCTTTTGGGTTAGCAATGCCTGAATTCCTAAGTGTTTGGGACCAATCTAAATGGCCTTTATATTCACCTCCATTATCCAACACAGATGTTCTGGACATGCACATCTTGTTGCTATCAATAATTCAGTTCTATTAGTTTGTGTTCTAGAATTCATATAAATGTCAACTATCTCTTTGTTGAAGATGTTTATGGATTATTTCTTTAACTACCTTGGTTTAATTTTATATGAAATTCTGAGCACTGGAAATGAAATATTAATATATATACATCTGATCAAAATTCCCAACTTGCTTCCATATATTACTGCAAATACACTCTATAATCTTTCCTATAGGCCAAAGCTATACCATTCTTCTTCTAAGTCCCTTCATCTGTTGTCATTGTTTTTCCTCAAATCATTGTAAGTACATTTTAAGTACATTCCTGCTCTAATGTTATTGAACTCGTCATCTGTTATGTTTGATATACACTTTGCTCTAAATATCGCACTCATTTCCTTTAAATATTGCTCAAAAATCGTAACAGAGACATGTTCCTGACCCACCCTACATGAAACAGCACATACCTGAGGATATTTTTCCATTGATTTTTAAAGAGTGAGGGAGGGAGACAGAGAAAGAGAGAAAGAGAGAGAGACAAAAAGAGAGAGACATCGATATGAGACACATTGAGTGGTTTCCTCCTGCATGTACTCTGACTAGACCAGGAATTGAACCTGCAACCGAGATACATGTCCTTGACCTAAAATCAAATCCATGTCCCTTCAGTATACAGGCCAATCCGCTAAACAATTAGCAATACCAGCCAGGGCCATGGTTTATTTTTATTCACAGCACCTATCACTACTTATTAATTGTCCATTACCTATCTTACCCTGCTATATTGGGAAAGACAATGATGGTAATCTCTAACACTACGGTACTTAAAAAAGTGAGGAAAAAACAAACACTAGAGAGATTTCAAATTCTGACATTAAGTTCAATTTAGGAAGATGAAATTTTATTTCCATTAAATATATGTAGTCAAATGGTGCCTTTTATATAATGTCAGCTCAATAAAAAAGGACTGCATAAAAAAATGTGAGGCCAAAATATTTGAAAAGTGAGAAAGGTGTTTCATTCTTTATCAAAGAGACAGTTATTTAACATCATAATAAAAAATGTTAGAAGTGTATTTAAGACCTAGTCTTCAAAAAAGAGGCTAGTTCACATACACATTTGTTGAGTCAATAAGTGAGATTATGGTCAATGTACTCAATATAATTTATATCAATCCATATACAAGTATTTTATACATTTTTAATCTGTTAAAAGAGGGAGTGAGATTAAATCATTTTTTTAAAAAAACCCTCCCAATGTTTCTAATGCTATTTATTCTATGATATAGTATGCTGAAACTAGAACAATTAATTCCCCTTTGCTTACTTCAAAATTACTGGCAGCACTCATATAAACAAATTGTACACACCAGACTACCCAGTTACTTCCCCCCAAAAAAAATCCACCAAATAATTATATGTAGCCTGAAATTTTTATTTCAAGAATATAGAACCAAACATTTCAATCTATCTTCAAAGTAGTCAAAACAAAACTTGACCACAATGATAACTTTTTCAAAATGTCAAACCCAAAACTATCGTTAGAAAGGGAAGATTCAGAAAATGTCCTCACCTTAAATAAAACAACATACTTTTAAAACAAGAAGAGACTTAAAGGTAAGCTATTCCAACATATTTATTTTATAAATGAAGAAATTGACACCTAGAGAGGTCAAGAAGATTGTTCAAGGTCACCAAGTGCAATAGGGCCAGCTGAAGCTTGAGTCACATATCCTGATAGACCAATGTTTATTAAGAACTATCCAGTCAAAGCCTGAATTATTTGAGTATACTCCCAACTCCTCATCAAGAGACCCATTTTCTATGTAAAATTCCTTAATAAACAGAATCACATGCCATGTCATATCTTCTGATGAAAATAAGATAAAAATTGGTCATTCTTGGTTAAACTTGAAATAATCATTTATCAATTCATTACTGTCCACCAGAAAGTTTGGTCTGATAAAAATAATGTAAAATACAGTGCTTCTTAAAGATTATCAGAAGCACATTGCAACCAATTATCCACCATCCAATACCAATTTCTTGCTAAACTTACTAAACACACCCAGGTCTAATACCCTAATATGCCTAACATAATTGATATAAAAATAGTTGTTAAATACATATGTAAATAAAAACCATATAATTAACAAATATAGATCCTGTATAGGAAAATAAGAAATTAGCAAAATTTTTAAAGTAGGCATCTTTAGTATATTGATGACAAAACTCAATTCAATATTTAAATCAAGAATGATACACAAAAGTATTTTAAAGCCCGTTTATGACACAAACATAAATATTTCTTAGTTCACATTATATTATTGTTGGCCATTGATAACAATAGAACCTTCACTAATTACTCATAATAAATTAATCCCTACATGGTAATAGGATTCTCTGCCACATAAATCATTAAAAGCCAACATTTAATT